TAAAGTTTTTGGGTTTTTTTTCATCATGGTTTCTTTGATGAAGAAAAGTAACTTAACCGGCGACAGTCATTAGCAAACTCACTACTCTGACAAGATGAATCCCAGCTATAGTTAATGCTGTAGATTCTCTTGCATTTTAACTTCTTCTTTTCCAACACACTAATAAGATGGTAATTTTTTTTATTTTTAAAGAAGCAACACATTCTTAGCCACGTTCATGTTGGGACTTTGTGTGGCAATGGCTCTTGGTCAGCTAAACACTGCAGTATAGACTAAAGCAGTAGACTAAAGTGATTTGATACAGACAGTTATGATGCCAGAGGATCCTAATGGCAACGATGACCCTCTGACTTTCCTCTTCAACAGTGAAATACCTTAAAATTAAGTGTATGTATTGGCAAAGACATTGTGCAGACATCGTAGACCACAGATAAATCCTAAAGACTAACTTCTGGTGCTATTATGAGGTTGACGCTTGTGATTTTGAGGGTAATGTCTTGACAACTAGAGTGTACATTGCTATTAGATTTGGTACAGAAATTCATGTTCCCCACAAGATACTTTCTAAAAACTTTCATTAGCCGTTAACTTCTCATCTAGCCATCACCCAAACTTATTTTTAATATGCCCAACACCTTCTTTAAGCCTGACAAATAGCATGACGCTCAACCTCAACTGTGTAAGCATTCTGAGAGGTTGAACTAAGGTTGTAAAAGTGGCAAGCATTATATCTGCTACACATCACAATGTTGGTGGCACTGTGAACATGTTAGCTTGCTGATGTTTATCTCAGTGCCAAGCCAATTACTGGTTTTCCCACAACCGATGCAGACAGCAGACACTGATTCTCTTCATACTGTAATAGGTATGAATCGTCTTCTGTGCAGACCATCATGCTGCCCCTCATACAGAACACAGAAAAACACACAAGGCCCCCGTGGATGTTCCTGCAAAGCTCTCACTTTGCACTTTTTACACTTTGCAGTGTGGACAGAAATTTTACGCATAGACTTAGAAAGCATGAATAAGCCTTAAGGTGTCCCACAGAGCTGCTGGCATGGTTGTAGACTCTTACTCATGTTTTAATTAGGAACAAACTGCTTGATCCCTATTTTTGTGACTGGATCAGGGCCAATCAAATAATTTCTTAACTAACTGGTTTCAAACCAAACCTACACCTGAACCTTAATTCACATCCGCTGTCACACAGGTGTACTAAAGGAAGAGCGCAATTTGTGGCAGGACATTATGGATGCAAATTCTTAACAGTTTAACAGTTCAACAGTCGACACAGTTACGGATCAGTATTGGAATGATTCATAACACAAATTGAACACAATGGACTTTAGTCCTGTGCAGATGTTGCTGTTTCAATGGCACAACTGGGCCCACAAAAGTGGCTCCTTTATATATGNTGAGGATATGATATTGGAAGAATACAAAATGAAACAAGTAAGCACTCCATGCAGAAAGGTCTGAGCTCCCCTAATTCTCTTTTAATCCTTTTACTTTTCCTTTGTGGGACATCATTAGGTTCAGATTTACTAGACTAGAGTTACTCAGAGTAACTAGAGTAACGACATGTCCAGATAAATGATAATACATCAAGAGCTACAAGCATTATTAAATGGCTTTTTTTTTTTTTTTTTTTGCGATGACAGCACCCTCTGTGTGTTTTTCAAGAGTCAGTAACAGCTTCAGCTATCACTTCAGCTCCAGCTCCGGCTATCACTACCTACCACTGATTTATTAATGAAGGCTGGATACCAGATTCAACAGTGCTGCATGGTCACAATTAAAATTGCTCGCCTGGTGCAAACATCTCCTGTGTTAACACCAGCAGGAAGCTCATTTATGCATGCTGTCTGCACGGTTGACTGAGAAGGGCACTAACGCGCAAATCAAACTCTCATTTATGAGCTCTTGGAAGGATAATGGTGATTTAAAAAAAAAAAAAGATGCAGGGATGTATTAGGAGTAAGACTGGATCTAGTGCAGCCGCTAAGTCCTGCTGCCAGTTGGGACCAGCGGCCACTCGCAGCATTACAACAAAAAATAAAACCCTTGTGGTGCAAAAAAGCATTTTCTCCATAGACCACAAGTCTCAAGGAGGTGTCTGTAAAACTGTAGACAGGCCGCCACTGACTGCAGACAATATCAGATTTCACTTATTTTCTAATGATTTTTTTTTTTACTCCATTGAGGTTTTATTCTTGTAAAACCTCCCAAGAGTCTGAAAAACTGAGTCACTGGAACAAAAGAAAGAAAATGGGAGCAAAGCTGAGTGGTAGCACCCTTTCCACATCTCTTAATACATCTTAGTGTTACAGTTATCTTGGACCCAAATGCAGAAAACAGAGTCGGTTGCTCAGTTAAAAGATTGTATTGCTAACAGTCCTAGTAACTGAGAGGAAGACCAAGAGAGGGAATCTGGAGATGAGGTCACAGGTGACGAGCTGGTGTGGGGATCTCGATGTGCTTTATCATCATTTCGATATAGAGGAGGAGGACGTGGTGACTGATACGGTGAGTTCCAGGCTGGAGCGTGATAGTGAAAGCGAGCTAGCAAGGAGGTGACCAGAGGAGACTGGGAGCTAAAGCACAAGGAAATTGCAGGTTAGACTGGGAGCAAAAACAGGGATGTAAATACGACGAGCAGAGTTTGGCCGTGATGTTACCACAGGGGCAGAAAGAACAACCTGGCGAGGAGTGGAATGATGATGTTTGAGAAACACAAGGAACAGGAAGCACGACCCCACACTCGTACAGGGACTCTTGACATCATGCGTCTTGATTTAAATCATGGAACATATGAGCTGCTGAAGTCACGGGACTATCCAGTGTCAGCTTGTCTTTGTCTTTCTGCAACTCGACCCTTGTAATTTTAGTTGAGTTGAGTTTATTACATTCATTTGTCTGGGGAACATTTACAAGAAGCCTTAATCTCATGTTATTGTTCTATATTTACCTGTAGTGTCTAAGAACAGACTATAATCCTAAACCAGTACTATGAAATATAATACAGCCTGAAAGCAAAACTGCGGCAGCCAAGGTCAGTAATCTGACAATTTGGGGCGATTTCAGCTTTTTTCTTGCCGCTGCAACTTTGTTGATGTTTACTGCAACTCATATAAGGTCAACAAGTAGCCTATATGGCTTTAGTGCTTTAATCTTGGCTTTGAAATCACGTGCAGCTCTAAAAACTTCCCGTCTCAGTCTTCATGCATCGAGCTATGTGAGATCCTCCAGGAAAGGTGATGCTATTTTCCAAGAAACCTGATTGGTCGGTCGGAGGTATTTTAACACACACTGATCTGTTTTCTCATACATCAGCTGCTCTGGAGAGAAAATCCAGAGTTAAGCCTGAATTTAGGCTCACATCTGGCTTCACAGCTCAGGGCTCCCTGGCAGGTAAACGCAAACAGCTGTAACACTACTGACACCATAAATACATTTACATCAGTGAGAACTGGTGCTAAAAGTAGCCGTAACTTATCTCACGTCTGCTCTGCATGTAGGTTAGTTAGCTTATCCTGCTAGCCTCTGCCTTCAGAGTGGAATACTAACTGAGCAGCATGATGATCCCCTCCAAATGTCTGTACGTCGTTAAAGCACAGACAGTTTATGGTAGGCTCCAAATCAGACGGAAAACACATTGGGTACAAGTTTGTAGGCTAAACAATGTGAGCTTCTTTAATTAGTAGCACATAGTTTAAATTTACTTGCGCAAAAGTGAGCATAATTTTAGTCTGACTATATATTTGGGAAATAACCTCAACCATTTAAACACATTAGGTCATCAGA